TTATATATATATATATATATATATATATTTAAACTCATCGTATATCGTATTGTACTTTTATATACTTTTAAGTTTGGCTTCTTGTAAACTTTGCGCAAATAATGCGTTTAAGGAAAGCAATGGACATTATCATGCATTTGTCACTAATGAGGAAATGCAAACGGTAAAAAGCATTAATATATCTTTATAATTACTTAATAATTAATAATTTTGAACAAGTGCTTATGTATAAATGCTCCAAAATATTTGTCGACTTAAGCACTGTTTATCATTCCATTAATCAAGATTGCTATTAAAGTACTGAAGTGATTAAAGTTATCATTCAAATCTTTTTTGTCATTTTCGTATGTATCATAACTTATTCTGTTGTCACACTAAGTAATCAAAGATAATATTAAAACCATATGTTCGCATCATAATTGATTTTCAGAAATGTTTCAGAATTACTCACCGTACATGAACTTTCGCCTAATTTTTCACATATTTTCTAATGTATTGTAAAATAGGTATCATAAAATGTACGAAATAATATCGCATATTATACAAAAACCACTTAAATAGTTTGTTAGATGTTTGATTGTTAAGATCACAAAAGTCAGCAATTCAAAATTGAATCGAAATCTTTAAGATTAAACACACAATTGCTATTTGTCACCCGCATACGCAGAAATGAGTTTACGCGATGTGCAATGATCACGAGACTTGCTAGGAATCCGAAATTCGCAGAATTCCTCCGCGAGAGTCAACGTACCGCCTCTCCTCCTCCCGTTCTGTCTCACGGAACTGCGTGTTTCACCTTGCTCCTCCACGACGGCGGCTACGCGATCGAATAATTTTTTCGAGCACCGCGCGAAACAGGTATTCGATCGTCGCGCGGACGATGGAGGGGTGGATTGGTAGCAGAGTAAATATACGCGGATATTGGCGCGACGCCGACGTGAAGTTGCAACCGGACGACGACGCTGCACGAGAATAAACTAAGCGTCGAGAAAATTAGAATGAAACGAGCATACGCGAACGCAGGATCGCCGGAATACAACCGAAAGATTAATCGAGTGGAAAAAAAAATAAACAGAAGGCACACAAACACGATAGCGCGGACGAAAGGTCGTATGAAGGATGCAACCGTTGCCGCCGCGGGCAGCAAGTTTCAAACGTTGCTCGCTTCTGCGTATTCGTGGTGCAAGTACAACGGCAACGGCGCCATCGCGAATAAAATCTGATAGCGCGAGATGCCTATTCAAAATGTCGCTGTTTATTTCTACACAGAATTTGTCTCAAGAAGCTACTCACCGTGCAGTCGTTGGAACGTCTTTTGTCGTCGGGCCGGCGATAATCCAAGTGCTGCTAAATTCAATGCACAACGCGATCAACACTGCGAACACTCACTCGCGCGCGTTGCACACATGTATGTTCATAAACAACGTACGCGAAATCGTATCGGGCGATTCTTCTTTGCAGCAAGCGAAGCAGAAAAGAAGAAGCACGACGAAAACGCGGGGAACGCGACGCGCGCGATACTCGCCTACTCAAACGCAAACGGCTCGCGTGACCGGTCGCGACTCTGCTTCGTCACGAACTCCGACCGACTCATACCAACATCTACTCTCCTCAGCTTCGACTCGACTCGGCGCAACGTTCGTGCATCTTCGTGACTCCGCCGCCCCGCCACTCACACGCAGCGGTTTACATTTTCAAATATGTCGGTACATTCGCGCCAAATAACTTACATTGCTTGAGTTGTGAATAGGGTTGCTTTTAGGCCGCAACACAACTATACACATAATTGTAACAATATGTTATACATTCAGTGATCATTCGATACTGTACACGCACTCAGAGCAACCGAAACAAACAACTGTCCGGTCACGCAAACATCAGTTATGGATACGCACCATAACTACGTTTTCTTTATCTTAATTCCGCCGAGCTAAATTTTTAACATACTACATATAATGCAAACTGTACCGCATATTGATGCTCTTGATCAAATGTTATTTTCGCGCCTGTCCATGACATCAAAATTTGTACTCACTGCAACTGTAATCCACGCCAATTGACAAAACCCTGATGAAATCGTGAACATTCGCGGTAAAAATAATACGTTCTGATAATTGCTCACCACTTTAATCGATATTCCCGATAAAAATTTGCACTCATTACACACTTTTAACGAATAAATTACGAAGCGTTCGCACTCTGCGTTCCAAGCTAAAGCAACATTCTATAAATTACTACGACGACCAGAAGAGGGCGCATCTAGCGTCCACATCGATCATCGATACATAATTTGGTGCTACATTCACATTCTTTTAGACGCAACGTAAGCGCGAAAAAATTTAAAATCTATAATTAATGTATTTTATCTATTAAAAGTGCATAATATATTCGTAATGAGTTATTTATTGCAAATACATACATTTATAATTATATACTAGAATAAATTTATTATGGAAATATCAAAAATCAAGATGGGATTCATATATATAAAATGTAAATTTTTATTTTTATCTTTCAAAATTTTTAGTTGGGACATATCACATAGTTTTTTTATTCTTATTGTCTCCGTTTTCCATATGCGTGTCTTTTCTTAATTCATAAATCTGTAAAAAGATAAATCTCTATAAAAAAATAGAACATTATAAATTATAATATAAATATTTCTTCTTAATTTACCTGTATATATGCTTCAGTGAGAGTAATCATTTGGGGCAAAATTTGAGTAACATGTAAATCTTGCAATTCATACCACTGACCAGTGGCTCTGTGTAAAATATGAACTCTGTATGTTCCTTGACCAGGTTCACCATCATGTACTATATTGGCTACTAGATCGTACGTCGTATATGGATGCTTAGCTTTCACTTCCGGTGTTAAAATATCTCCAAAATCCACATTTCTATAAACATAAGCAAAATTTATCGAAATTGTTAACAATTTTAATTCATGCAATAAAAAATACTCACTTAACGGGGAAATTGACGATTGTTGGATTTTTCTCGACAAAAAATGTATTTTTGGTAAATCTCTGAAAGCAGTACAGAAATTATATGATACAATTATAAGATACATTCATATAGTTCATTATTATACACAAGACTTACTTTTATATAAAGTATAAGATACGGTGGCAGTTCAGTAATTTCAAATCTTTTCATGAAATTTTCCTTATACGTCTTATACTCCTTCTCAGTAATGGCATTAAATTTATTCAAGAGAGTGTACAAGTTTACCTGTGCAAATAAAAATGCAATATATATTATAACTATTCCTTAAATTTCTATTTAAGGAATTATATGTGTGTGTGATCAATATCCATACGCAACCTGTGGGATAATGTTTTCCGTGAACTGATCTTTGAATAATGGAGGCGGAGGAAGATCGCAAGTAAGATATAAAAAAGGGCTTTCCGTTACAGTTTCGCCATATTCGACCGTGTGCAGCAGTTCACTTCTTTGGCTCTCTTCTAGTTCCAATGGCGGTATTTTTCGCGTATATATTCGCATATGTCCCAAAAAAGTTTTATAAATTATGCTAGAATCCCGCTTCTTTGTACCATTTAACGCCAAATGTAGAGCATTTAAAAACCATGATAAAAAATCCACCGGATCGCCTGTATAGTGTCTTATTAGTAAAAACAATAAGAATAAATGTTTATATGGATGAAATCTGCTACATACCTTGCTCTGTAAACTGAAATCTTTTTTTACTCCATAAAACTACTGCTTGCAACATCTCATGAGGACTTACATGGGCTTTAAAGTTACGTGGATTCCACAATTTACGCATGAGTTCACCAAATCTTTGTACCAAAAGATAGGATGAATCACCAGGTGGTCTCCTCACATGAGAATAATTAGATTCTCTTAAAAAGAAATCTCTCAAAGGTGTAACATGTGAAAGCGCCTATAAAATATAAAAATTATAATATACACAAAACCCTGATATTAATATATATTAAGTTAATTATAATGAATTACTTGTAAAATGACATTGCAGTAGTCATTTGCTTTTATGTTATTCATTCCCACAATTCCTGGTGAATACATAGAGCCATCAATTGCTCTGGATTGCTTGTCGCTCTTATCTAGTTGAACTATTTGTATTTTGTCAAAAGTTGGATTTAATACATATTTAATGTCGTCCAGTGATGAATCTAATAAATATGTAAAATGTCAGCTGTTGAACAAAAGAAACATATAAAAATAATGTATGTACTTACTTACCAACTATTTCATAATTATCTGGTAAACAATAAAATTTTAATGTATGTAAATTAAGAAAGACATGATGACTCTCTGCTACACTGTGTGTATAAGCATGAGTATTAGTTCCTCTGCCTTGGAAATATTTGCCACAAACCAGACAAGCATATACATTTATCCTAGACAGCGACACGGAGCACAATTTTTCAAAGTCAAAATCTAAAAATTGTCGATTAATCTTGTCCAAATATGGACACAATCGTGGTGCCTCTGATTTTGTTCTCATATATTTTACATTCTCTGTAATAGAAAAATGATACAATTTTGAGATAATGCTTTAGATTATAACTTGTGTAGAAGCTACCCAACAAAGTATATAAATTTAAGTATAAAAAATTGCTGATTATTTTATGTAATTAAAAGTTATACCGACGTTTATAAGTGAATTAACATTTTTATTTCATCAAAGCCAAAGAAAATCATAACGCACCAAACGTCACCTAACCTCAAACTTCGTGTAAACAGTGCTTTCTTGCGTTTCGTTAAAGCCATAATGTGTATCTAGAACTGATTGATTTAAATTGCCAATAATATTATAATATACAAAATAACACTCACTTTCTGTTTCATTATCCGAATCACTCCCGACGTCAACAAATTTTCGTTTCTCTGATATAACTTGTTTAACGGACGCCATGTTTTTTGGCATTGAATATAACATCAGAGAGAAACCTGAGAGAGGCCACGCTGCCGTTTTTCGTAAGACGCTTTTTCTAGGCTGTACACTAGCGGCGCGTACATCCATTTTATAGCCTGAACTACGGTGCCTTATTGGCGCCGTCTGTCGGTCGACCGTAGAAATATCTTACAATATCATATTAGGAATTTCGACGCTGATTCACGGCATGGGGGGGGGGTTGTTTACGTTCGCTCTGTGACCTACGTATTTTATATCCTCTCTTCCTCACTCTCACACTTTCTCTCTTGCACACACTGATCGGCATGTATACATTCCTTTCCCTACTTCTTCCAAATAGTATTTTTCCCAATTTGACCTTTATCCTTGAGCTTGAGCTGGATTTTACTATTCGCACGGCGGCACTTGAACGAGACAGACCGTTTCGCGTATCGGC